GACCACGTGTCACAGCAGGGAAAATGGCCGCGGATCCTGTTCGTTACCCGATGCGGAGTTCGCAGACGGAAGCAAAATTTTGCGATCAGTGCTGTTCGTGACCCGAATTGGTCGTGAACAGAAGCGTTTGTGACCCGAGGTACCACTGTATTTATTGGCCAACTTGCACCAATTACTACATTTTACAAGATTTTAGGAGGAAACATCAAAACCTTGACAATTTGGTGATCTCAAAAGGTTTTAGCTATCAAGAACATTACAATTTTTTAAATTGTTTAATGTTGGGTTGGGGGAAGGTTATCATATATAGTATTATAGGGAAAGGTGTACATTTCCAACCCGTAATTTAGCGGTCTCCAAATGTTTTCAGGGATGACATACAATGTTCCTTATAAGAGAAAAGACTGGAAACCACTAAGGTACAGTATATTTCAATATGTTAGTCTATTATATGACAAATTATATTTCAGCCTTTAGCTGTGCTGACTGTAACTGTGACTAGTATAATTGACAGTTTTTCTGTCAACTGTTCTAACATTTGAAGAAAGATATTGTACCCTAACCTTATTCATTATATGTTTCTCATATATTTAAGGAATCTCATATATTTAAGGAAAAAAAGAAATTAATACACTTATCTTACCATTTCATTTTATCATTTGGCCCTGAAGAAAACGTTGAACTCTTTAAAACTTCACCCATTTCTTCTCGGCAGAAACTGAAGTTATTAATGGTCCACATATAAGAAAACTTTACAACTTTAACCTGCATAAGAAATGCAGACAGGATTACAGTATTTTATCTCCTCTTCCTTCCAAATGGAAACAGTAGTATGTTTCTCATTTAAAGAAAATATAGCATAATAAACTTAGTAGCTGTGGTTCTCAGGGTTCAAAAACCTTAAGAAGGATACACATAATAATGTTTAACTTTTTAAATGTTAGATACTAGGTCTTGGGTTATTTCAGAACATCTCTTTTGCATTTTTACATTGTATATTAGGATTGTATGTACTTTGAAAATGAAAATGATCCAAAAGAGGTATGTCAGAATGCCTTAAGAACAACATCGCTTTAAAGCAGCCATGGCATTTAGAATAGAATAGAATAGAATAGAATAGAATAGAATAGAATAGAATAGAATAGAATA